CCCCCGCGGCATTCGGAGCACCTATTGTACAGTCAGCAGGCGGAGCGCGGCCCCCCAGTTCTTCCTCGCGGTGATCGATCTTCCTGTCTCGCAGGCGGTCCTCGACCCCGGTTCCTTCCCCGTGCAAGACGTTTTGAGCCCCCTCCCCCCCCCCCCCCGCCCCTCCAACCCCCCCGTAACCCTCCCTCTTCTTCGTCTCAACCTTCCGACAACAAAGGAAGGGCTCCCCTCTGATGAAGCCGCCAGTGGCAGGCGGCAGAAAGGCCTCAGGGATGTGCCACCCCTCCTGTGGATCTGCTGAGTTGTCCCTTGCATGTCAACGCGGAATTAGGGCACTGAATGGCACGGTGCAGATTTCTCGTTTCCTTTCCGCTTTGTTCCTTTTCCTCTCTCTCTCGCTTTCTCGCTTTGTCTATCTCCACCCGCCCTATCCCATCTTGTCTGGTTTGTGGAGAGAACTTTTTTGAGCAGCATATATACACTCTTTTCAAGCATTAGTATTCGGATATGAATACATGTTCTGGATCGGGGTGTCCTTCATTTGCTTTTTCGATTTTTTCTTCGATTTTTCTCTTTTCTTGTTTTCCACGCGCATTCTCGCCTTCTGTTTTTTCACAATATAGCACTTGTGTTAATGATGTGCGATCTAGCTTTCAGCCGCCTGCGCTCCGATCCCGTAATCGGATACACAGGAATGAAAGACAAACCGCATATTGATAACCTCCTTCCCCTTTACCCCTCGATATAAAAACGATGCGAATGTTGTCTTATGAATGTTGCAGCTGCAGGTAAAGATAGACATCTTTTCCCCATCAACCCTTTTTCCTAAACCACCCTTCTTTTTGAGATATGTGATCTTCCCTTCAGCTTCCTACGTTACGACCATTAATCAGTAGCGCAGGGGTGAATGGCTGACCGCATATTGATCGGCTCTGGCTCTCTCCGTATTCTTCGTGTCCCCCTTTGTTGTTGTTTCGTTCGTGTTCCATTTCTTTGCCCCCAATGAGAGCTTAGGAATAAAAGACGGTTCGCATCTGCACGCCGCGCTCTCCTCCGTCCTGTCCTCTTCCACTTTTTTTAAGAAAACAGTAGCTATGGTTAGTAATAAGGTTCGATGGTCTTGTCTGTAGTAGATTGGATGCTTTTGCGAATATGAACCCCATTTGTTTGAAGTATGCTCTACGGAGTCCTCTCTTTTACCAAACCCTTCCTCATCCCCCATGCCCTTTGTTCGATCCTGGGCTGTCAAGCTGCTTAGCAATCTGCTCCGAAGGAGGGATCCGCCCCCCTGACGCAGCAGCTACCCAGCTTTACAGAAGATATCAAGAGGACCGACAACCAGTCTCTCACTCATCTACCCCCCCGGCTTGTTTAAAACCTTCAAGTCGGGAGCATAGTGAATGAGAGGCGGGTAGCAGTCCTTAGGATTAGTCCTCCTTCAACCCTGTTCAATAAGTCTCGTGCAATATTCCGCAGTAGAGAAAATATAGTTCCCCTCTTCTTCATGATCGGATGCTTATTTGTTAGACCAACTCCCCCCTTCTCCCGCCCTTTGTATTGCCCTTTCTTTTCTCTTTTTACGAATCACTGAGATCGATTTCCGATGCATTTGCGACCCAACTTTCACTTACGAGAGGCAGCTTTCGCCTCCCTACTGAAAGTTCGCTCGCACGAGCATCTGTGAAACACCCAGGTACCCCTCCTCGTAGAGCTATGTTTGCTAACCGACCTCTCCCTTCTAGTTCTTACCACTTCCCCCACTCTCGCACGGAAACTCTCCCTGCTCTCACCCGTAACTACATACGAGATAAGCACTGGCCTTGCCTCGAGAAGATGGAATGGTTACCGCGCAGCAGCAATTCATGGTACCTGCACGAGCTTCGGGGATAAAGGTGCGCCGATGGGTAGCCGTCGGAGTAACATGCGAGGTGCAGTAAGTTATGTACCTTCGCGTACCATAGAGAAAAGAAACACACACACACACCCGCGCGCGCACACACACAAACACACGCGTCGGCACACACACACACAAACATACACTAGCACACACACACACACACACGGCCGCGCCCACACACACACACACAGATACACACACGCGCGCACACACACACGTGCATACACACGTACACACACACACACGCGCGCGCACACACATACACACACACACACACACGCACACAAACACACACACACACACACACAATCTCTCTCTCTCTCTCTCTCTCTCTCTCTCTCTC